TATCCTTCGCGGAAAAATCGGTGTTTTCTTTAGCATCACCACAACCACATATACAAGGCTATTGTCATGTGGACTTCCTTTGCCTTCTCAATAATTGTCATGGAACTATATCCTCTGTCGTTTCCGCTAATGGACAAATCAGAGTCCAGCATTTGGTAGTGAATGCCTGAATCTCATATAATATCTTTTCTTGTTACATAACTTTCACCATGGCGAGTAGATTTAAGCACAAAGCCTAGAAGCTAGACAACTTACAGCTAACTTAAACCTTTCAATAATATTATCTCCATTTGAGTCAGAATTTGCAATGACACTATCGTCTTAGCAACAGTTTCCAGATGATTATCTGAAATGACACATTCCGTAATAATCAACAGCTATTACCGTTCACTCACAGTCTACTCGCTCACTGGATACGGGTTCACTGGCAGAACAATGAATTCATTACCTTAAATGCATAAAATCTGTGGCTATGTGCTTCACTTTACAATTAGTTACTTACTATCTATGGTATCAAGAAAGCAAGAATGCGGCATACTGTTGCATATGAATCAATAATTCGACTTGACCACCCTGTGACAGTACTGCCAAATTATTTGAATACTTCAGGACAATAAGTGTATGCCTGATATAATTCTGCCCGCATGCGTGTTGAATTAACCTTGAATAAGCTTTGAAAGTTATTCACTTACCATCCACTTCAAGTAAGAAATTAGGGAAAAAATGTAAGAGGGTGTGAATCAGTTGACACCTTGTCACTTCTTAACATGTATGCAACGTAAATGTAGATGTTTCCGCTTGCAAATACGCAGGGAGTTTGTCTCTGTCAGTTACCCACAATTCAGGTCGCCTACTCATTGGCTGCTTTCGTAAACTTACTGGAAATACCTAGTGTGGTTTCAACAACCTCCAAAGATCAATTTACCTGACTTCTGTGTTCATGAACTCTAGTCATATTCAATATTGTTTCCGACATTGGGTAGTAAGCGTAATTTCTTGCAGCTTTCTTGCTACTTTCTACTACGAATAGTCATCGAGTGAATTCACAACCTCCGTCAATCGATTGAATGAAGTTTTTCTATCAGAATGTATAAGGTCCGGGGCCGTGCTCCGTGAATACGGTCAAATAACAACTGAATGTAAGTCCTGGCTAATCTCATCATCATAAACCTCGTACTTAAGTGAATGCGTCTGCAGTTAGTTGAATCAAAGATGCGATTTTATCCACACTAATGTTTTCGGTATTAGACAATTCATGGCTCAATATTGAGTGATGTAAGTCTGAATCTCAAAAGAGGAATATCAGTAAATTCGAAAAGGGAAATATATGTCAGCCTTAAAATCCAAGCTCAGAACAACCTGCTAACTGACTGAAATCATTTAACAAATTTGTCTTTATTCGACTGAATATCAGCATTATTTTAGTTTCATCACAAACAAGCAGGTGTTTCGTCATATGTTGTCAGTGTACTTGAATCATCAATTTTTTGTAACTTTTAAAAAGGTGTCACATACTGACTTGTAGAGCTGAAATATTATGGAGGAAATGCAAGAAAAATATTAATTAATTGACGCATCCAAGAAATCGTGCATGAAATCAAATGTCGGTAGTTGATTCCTGCATCAGGTATTCATATGGTGTTGAAATTTATGAATATGCAGGAAAAAATAGCACGGAGAAAGGATCGTTTGTGGGACTATCACTATCAAAATGTTGGAATTCATGTACCGTGTTAATAATTTAAAGGGTATTTAGATTATCATAGAGATTTGTGCATGATGAGTGAACGGAATTACTCCATCAATTAAAAATTTCAATGTCTTGCTTCTGTTACCTATCGAGTCTTTGGTCTTCATTGCCGATACAGGAGGCATAGCTTTGAATACCAATAAAAATTTCGAGTAGAAGAACAAGGTAGCTTTTAATGTCAGTAGATACTGTTGTCATCGCTTTATTTGAACTAGGTGAACAACATTGTGATTTTGGAAGATCTGTAGTAGGACTGTTTTATCAGCATGCCTGTAAGCGACAACTTCGAAAACAAATATACCATATAGACTACAATTAACTCAGAATTAGCCTTGTCATTCCCTCTTTGGCTCAAAGAAAGTGTTTCTCGAAAAAATGGTGTATTCGTTCTCAGAATCAAGGCACTCATTTAAGGTTATTGTTGTATGAACACTGTTTTGTCTTTTCAGAAGACTGTAGTGAGTTTTGATACGCATGTTTTTTTCCCCGTAAGAGCCTATTCATGGTCCAACACTAAATGATACACGCCTGAATCTCAAAATAGAATATCTATGACATGGAGGTAAGGATTATAATTCGAAATCCAGGACCACGACAACCTGTTAGTTGACTCAAATCATTAGGAGGGAATGCAGGAAGCTGTAAACAGACTGCGACACCTCTAAATGTATTAGGAAGAAATCGTGTATGAAATGAAATGTCTGCGGTTGATCTCTTCATAAGCTAATTATATGGTGTTGAATATAAACAATATATATGTAGAAACAACTGTTACAGAGAAAATACTCTTTGTGATACTGCCGCTTCCAACTTGTAGAATATTCAGCTGTCTTCACATGGATTCGACCTAACTCTTATTTACTTGAAACACCTCATCCTCGCTTAACTGTATCCATGTCATCACCTAGTGACATGAAGCGTGAAGTGATGAAATTCGGAATATTTTAACAGGTTATAACCTTGAATTACAATGTCACTGTTCTTACAAAATGCTCTTTGAAACGTACCATTGACTTCATTGAATAGAATTGCTGGAAATATGATACAGAATCCAATTAGTGGAATACTAAATCCCATCACCTCAAAAGGCTTGTTTGATTATCTTCGAGTGTGTATATGAAAAGATACTGAATAAATTCTCATTTTGAATGTGTGGTGTATTATATGAGTTTCCATTGACTGCATTTCTATATCTCGGTCAATGTTGGACTGAGAAACTGTGTACTCAACCTGCTTATATGCTGATAGTGAATCGCGTTATGTCAACATTCCAATGGTGCTTATTGGATTACAAATTTCTGTGTTTCTGATAGACAACACATATTGAAATGTGTCGTAATATCGACTACAGTTGCTTTGACGAGACTATTTTAAAATGTTTCCGCAGATTCATCATCATAAACACGTAACGTTTTCAAAACAGTATGAATCACTGAAACAATCAGAAAGCTGGTGAAACATCCTGTCCATCACAGTTATAATGTAATGAGTTCCAAAAAGACCAAATTATCCCTAGGTGATAAGTTTAATAAGTCTACCGTCGAGTGCAGTCGGGATAATGTTCTTTGCCGCATTTCATCACATCCCCTTGTTTATTTAGGTTTCTGTGAGGATATACTTCGGTGACAGATCCTTTGTCTATTTGACAGTTCACTTGCTCTTCTAAATTCGATTACGTAAACCGTACCAGAAAGACGTTATTCATATTAATTTATCAACAATTATCAGCATAATTATACAAAGAAAAACATAGGAAATTAAACAGCTCAATTCTGGAGTATATAATTACTTCTGACGATGCAGGATGACTAGACGTTGACCAGAGTCATATATATTAAGTAGCATTAAACTGTAAAATGGATTTCGCTTATGTTTGCATGCAATGAGAATTATTCCAACCCACACAACTGATCTGAACGTTGTATCTGGAAATTAAATCACTCACTTTATTTCGCTAACGTGGCCATAGGATCAGATTTACCTTGTTGATTTGTTGATCAATAAAATATGCATAAGTATTCTCAAATAGTTCCTGTTTTCTATCAGTTAACTCTATCTAGCTATTCATCAAGTAATTAGGTAGTTGACAGCCTTCGAATTTACCCAGGATAATACGCTTCCATTTATCTGCGCTATGTAAATGACACTAACCCTTGACATTTGTTCGCAGTCAAAATTGTACATTATACACCTAAAAACCTGCACACTGTGAAGAGGAAGCTACGAATAGAGATCTTCTTGTCAGCTTATGAATGTTTGCTTGTGGAATTGAAGTTTCACCGTGGCTAATCATACAATTACTGAACAAGTTTGGTCTTCACTTTGATCATGCCAGAATGAATCTCTCAGTATATAAGTCAAGTTGTTTATGATCCTACACAAGTTTTATGATACACAAAAGAATAATGCTTAGATGTAGTGAAGAGAGAGCTGCAAAGTACGAACTTTTACATCACCTCAACAGATAACTGGGAGTGCAAAGTTCCTACACTGCAGTCACCCTTGAATGTTTGCTTGTTTATCAGTTGTTCATAGATTTCACATTTGTTTTAGACTGTGATGATATGAAAACACTTGCTTTATTCTGAACTTGGTGGATTTCCAAATATCGGAATTTCGTTCATAATAATAAAGGTTTTTGTAGTTCCCAATAAATGAAAATCAAAATGATATTGTTTTTACTGACGTTTCGCTATTTATTGCTAATAGTTCTGTCAAAGTAATAATAAACCAGAATTTACAAAATCAACTCAGCATATATATAACAAAGAGTCAAGAGGTGAGAAAACAAACTACTTAGGTCAAGTTAAAGGGACATATTGAAAGTCAAAATAACAATGAAGATCACTAAACCAAATATCAAAGGTAAGAGTATATCTGTTATGATATCAAAATAAACCTTACTAACTTGATCATCGTTCGTTAATCTGGAGTCAATTTTAGTTGTCAAGTTGGAGAATTGGTAAAGATAACAAAATCAAGAGTAGATTGTTGAATTTGATTAGTGTGTGACATTATAAACGTAGTGTGTGTGTATTTGCATAGTTAACTTGCTTATCACATTTGTGTTGATTTTGCTACTTCATGGGGGAAGGCAGGTGTTGTAACCAGGTCAGATTCTGTTTACGTCCATCATTCCTATACAGGCAATATGGATTCCACTTGATATGGAGTGCTTCTGACGGTATTAGACGTTCTCTATGATTCATGAAGTTTTTCTGATTATTTCAAGATTTCAATATTGTCAAAATCAATTTTGTGGTCTGATGCTATAATTGAAATCTTGTGTTTTCTCGATACTTCTTATTATCAGCTGTAAAGTAGAACTGCGACAATGTAGACACGTTTTCCCGTCTATGCCAAATGTGTCTGTTGATGCCGCATCAAAACCTATCAACAGAAAAACGTCACCTACAAATCAGCTGTGTATGTTGTAAATTCAATGAAAAGTCTTGGAACATATCGCAAAAAGTTCTTAATAAACAGAATTAGACATTATTAGTACAAGAAACTCATTCATCTGTATGTAGAGTTGCACTCAAAAAGTTTCAACTCCTGACAAACTAATTTACAAGTGGTTAGTCAATTTTATGTTCATTTCATGAAGTTAAATATATTCCTACAAATAAGTTGAGGTGAGTACACCACCCTTCGCACATTAACAAATGTTGTCGTTCCCTCTAATTCTACAAATAACTTGATAACTACGTCACTGATGATTTCGAATTTGTTCTTAATTATTAAAGTGCTTGCAGATATTTTGTGCAACAAATCCTTTACTACTTTCCATTGTCTGAAAAACGAACGGTATCTTAACAATATTTCCAACATACGACTAACACGAAGCGCATGTTGATCGCTGAGCTACGTAATTTTGTACTAACTACTACTTCCTTTTCATAAAATAGCTGTCTTATTCATTCTGATTACTGAAGATTTATAAACTCAGCAGTAAGCGTTCTTACCTAATTGGCTTATGTCTATCGTTTACAGTATATATACAGTAGTAAACCTGAAGTGCGATGATTACTTCGAAGACTATTTATCGGCGTATATGTAATGCTTTATCATGGGTGGCCATGTTCCACAGATTTGTTTCCGCTTCCATTAGGTTTTCGCTTATTATTGCAACGATGTAACCGGCTAAGTTTGCCGACTGAAATTGCTGATGCTTGGTTCCTGCTATCGAATTATTGATTTCTATTAAGCAAGTGTGGAATCAAGCTGTAACCAGAAAATAAAAAATAAAAATTAAAAAAAAAATAAAACAATGTACTACCATTGCAAAGAAGCAAGTAACCATTGGCAGTTTGTCACATGACGGTCATCTGTGTTTCTGGTCTAAATAATGTGATGAAGTGATGAAGAGTATCCTCAGATACCAATTGCACACATAAGGGGATCCTAAGCTATCAAATGTATAATTCAGCGACACCTCAGAAACAGGAGTCAGTACCATACTACTACTTGGTTTCTCGGAATGGACTCAATTCACTGTCATTTTTATATCACACTTTTTCGCTACTGAGAAAGGGAAGGATGCGTTTGCTACGAGTAATTTTCTGCAGAGAATCAATACTGAGGATTCATTGTACCTGAGGTATTACAAAACGTGAGTGTATCTCTGTCACTGTGAAAGACATAAAGCCATATCACCAACAGTCTGCTGTCATTCCTTATCATCATTTCAGATTACTCAACCAGCTAGTCGCTGCCTCTCTATGTGAATCAGACTAACTGTAAAGTACTTTGTGAAATGATGACCAGTTTTGGATTTACCACATTTTACTCCAGTACAAACCGGAATTCATGCGGAAGGTGGTAACTTGAAATGTACAATGTTTATCCTCACTATCTTAATCGGTCCAACTTCAGGACGTCATTGGTAAGCTTTTCCTCTGCGCCTAACCTCAATCCTGGAAACATGAATATATATTTGTGATTGAAAAACTAGGACCTGTTTACGAGAATGTTTACCTGCTATTAGAATATACAAATTAATATAAATGCAGTATATAATGACTAGATATAATGTCTCTTAATAATCTTTGTCACCTAGACAGCTTACTTTTCCGACTGTTTACTCCATGTAAACAAAACAGAGTATCCATCATTGTTTTCTAAATAAATTGGGGCTGTCTAGGCTATGCAAAGAAAAACATTAGCCGCACTGAATCGATCGACTCTGAACTAACTCTTCCTTTTCAGTGTATATAAACATCGATTCCAAATATTTGGTTGAAATTATACATTGATGAAATATGTGAAGGTATTTCTCAAACATGTGTAATACATTTATTTCACAAATATGCCGTGCAATTCAATTACAACATACATTGCAATGATGGGAAGAAGACATTGTTTTTCATATTTCAGTAGTATCATCACTTCATTATTTATTATTATTTGCCTTCCGAACAAGAGTGTACGATAAGATCATTATGAGTTCATGGTCACATCTGAGTTGAGTCTAAAATGAAAATGTTTAATTAGTTTTCTCACTCATTTTAGTTGTGCATATTCGATTTCTTTCACCAATGACTTCTGGCAGCCCATCTAAAAGGCAGCCTCAGGTTTCTACCATTCGGCTACAGAAAGCCGACGTGTGAAATAAGTTTTGTAAAAACAATACAATAAATTTGATTTACTCCATCAGTTATTTGTAAGTGTGAAATAACTAAAGGCATCATGCATTAAGTATTGTCGTTCGTGTTCCTGCCTGCTTTCCTACTGGCACTGGTGATTTTACACTGACAAAATATTGGTTCCACTATAAAGTGTGCGCCCTAATAAGAAACTTGAAGTTACGCAGCTAGTTAACAGTTGTGATGAAATTGAAAACGTGCAAAAAGTAAGTCAGAATTACTCATACCCTCTATCTTAACTTCAATGACTTTGATAAACCCTTTCACAGGGTCGATCAAGAAGCGATTTGGTAACCACATCACCACTACTGGTTGCCGCAAACAATTAAACATTTCATCCAACAGTTGTACGACAATGCTGCATGCCATGTTATTCACAACGGAAAGCTGACGGAATCCATCAATGTAGAGGCGGAAGTAAGGCAGGCTATCGCCTAATATTGCCAATTATTTTCCTGATTGCAGTAGATTAGATAATTTTACAGACAGCAGGCAAGGCAACGAGGAAACAGACATAAAATGGAGCCACACAAAAGCTTGAAGGATCTGGACTTCGCCGATCATATATGTCTGATTTACCACAAACTGGATGATATGCAAGTGAAAAGGATCAAATTGGCAGAAAAAACATCCAAGATAGGACTTCAGATCAACATAGAGAAAACAAAGGCAAGTGATGTAGATTACTGATCAACAACAAGAGACAACAATCAACCAACATAAATGGGGGAAACCTGAAAGAAACAACCTCTTTCACCAACCGACCTGGGAAGCATCGTTACAACTATAGGTGAACGGAACTGACGAGGATATCAAAGCAAGAATCGGAAAAGCAAGACGAGCTTTCATGACTCACAAGTGTGTGTCGAGGTCAACAGCCCAGCACAATCAGCATGAAAAACGAGATCCAGATTTTCAACTCCAATGTGAAGTCAGTCAGTGCTACTGTACGGATCAGAGACCTGACGCGTCATAAAGAGCATCTCAAACAAACTACAGACCTTCATTAACAGTTGTGCTCACTCAATACTCAAGATCAGATGGCTGGCCGAAAAAAATCTCTTGAAGCGAACCGACCCAGCGAGAACAGATTATGAAAAAAAATAGGCAGTAAGAAATGGAGATGGATTGACCATACTATGAGGAAACAAACCATCAAGTGACATCACTAGACAAGCCATTGCTCGAGTGGAACCCGAAAGGGCAGATTTGGAGCAGGGTGAAAAATTCGGCAGAAGACAGAACGCAATTGAGACGCGCGGCTAAAGCCCTATGTTCCTCTAGGACTGAAAGGATATAATAACAATAAAGCTGAATTTGTTCACTACACCTATTTTGATCTTTCAGATAGTGAATCAGTCACTTCCCGAAGTTAAATGTCGAGAGATTGCAGAGGTGGAGTGGAGTAATTTAAGTTAAAAACCCTTAATGATTCCGAATTAGCGTCTATGGATAGTAATGCTAATTCTACCCTGAACTGCTCATAGATTCATTCCACCGGATTGAAACGGTCTAGACGTCAAATCACCATAGTAGCCTCCTCTATTTCTACAGAGAAACAACATTCTGGGTTTACTAAAATCACTTGACGAGAAATTTTTATTAGTAATTCTAATGAATAGGAGTGTTATCTCTTTAAAGGTAACCTTCTCGTGGCTCTTGTTCATCTCTAGCAGCTTATCAAAACCTTCACCGAAATGCACTGGAATATATCACTCCTCAGATAAACTCACCAAATATCCAATAGAAACTTTCTAGGAGTAAGAGAGATTTCTGCTTAGATAATGCGAGCTTACGTACAAAAAATGGTTATGAATATGTCAAGCTTTCACGTGAACGGCTGTTTTACGTAAACTGTCTATTGTGAGTTAACGAAAGTAGATGTTCACTTAAACATGATGCAGATGTTAACTTGTAAGTCAGTTGACTGCATTCAGTCAATCACATGTCTGTTGCGATCATCGAATCAGACTTAAGAAACAGCCAATTTAATTTAGGAAATAAACTCTCTCTGTGGATTTCGTTCGATTATTGTAAGTGTAGACAGCCACATCGTTTGTTATCTAAAGACAACACCTCACATATTTTCCAGTCTTAAAAATGTCCGTTATAGAATTTCGAAGAGTGGCATGATAGTGATCATCATTGTTTTATTTGTATAAGTGCCCTCCCTTTAACACTTCCGAAATTAATTACTTGCATCTGGTAATTCAGGGAATGGTCTGATGATTCAATTACCATCTGATTACCATATGTACATCTATCATTTCTACGGAAAGCAGGATTTAGTCTGCATATACTTTTTGGATTCTACCGATGTAGATTTGAATAAAAGAGAGTATATGGCCCTAAAAGTAGTTTCACTTAAGCTGTTTTTATGAACGTTAACCAATTTTACGCCAAGGTCAAAAGTTTTCAATGGGTTAACTTCGAATACATGCAGTTATTTCGATGAGTGTTGAATAAATTTTATCACATGTGATACAAGGCTTGTATAAAAGAATCAAAGTTATTTTAGAAGCAATTCACTGATCCAAAAATAACTATTTCAGAAAACCTGATCACAGTTGAGAAAAATGCATTAAAAGTTTATCCCAGCTCAGCGTTCAAAGTGCAGCATAGTGATTAGATTCACAAATGTTCTCGAAGTTTGGAATCCATATTTCGCTGTGACGTCCCTCAATTATCAATAAATAAGAGACTTACCTAGTTTTTGTACTACTAAAACAAGTTCTGAAGAAATTGATGAATTTTTAACCATGAGAATGTTTTAAAAGTCACTCTTATTGTACTTACTTCAAATCGAAGATAACTGTAAACAGAATAATGGAAGATTGGAATGAAGTTTGTAGATAAGAATCACAGCGTGAAATAAAACGATGGTTAAAATATTAATCAATGTATTCTGTACTACTTCTAACAGTAAATGGAGCACTTTGTAGTAATGAATGACGTGAGATCGCATATATTCTAAAAACGTCGAATTATCAATACAAGTGATATATGCTGGATACTGTAGTGGAATGAAATTCCCTAATACATATGATGATTTCAAATGACATGCGTTGATACAGTAGTGATTGATGGATGCCACTTTATTGCGCGAAATCGCATAAATATATTCACAGAACTTCTCAACTTGCTTGACATAGCTTCACTCTCTCCTGTGTCGGAATACGCGATCAGTGTTCTGTCACTTCTCTTTCTCTTTTCTGTGTTGATTCGTTAGAAGAATATAGTGACCAACGTTTGTTACCTTCTATCATTTCACGATTTCTTGTCTTATTGTAAGGGTAGGATAAGGTAATATTTATATTAATACTGTACTGTTGCGT